TATTGTTGTTGAGTGTAAATTGGTTGATGTTTTCAAATGACACCATCTATTATCAGACACATGGAGTGCGAGTTGGGCAAGAGAGTGCTAAAAAGGCGATTAATTTTATCGAGGTAATGACTTATTCCATCTCATCCACCCTGTTGCCACCCCTTTCAAAGAATGATGTAATATGCTATTTTGTATTAAGTTGTTTAAACTACGTGCTTATTGGATATGTTCTATCCAATAGTAACCTTCCTTTCTACCTTTTTCATTCCCTTTTTTTGGCCTGAAGCTCTCGTCATGTTTAAATTCATATAATTTGCTTGTTACTGCCTGCTGAGTCAGGGTTATCATGGAAACCAACTGTATATGCTTACCTGAAGTTATTTTTGGGATCACTTAATCATTTGAGAATTAGCATATTTGGCTTCCGCTCTTTATATTTTTCCAGTCTGCTGATAAAATAAAATCACGCCAGAAAGTAGTCTACTACAAGACGGCTTATTCATTGACAACTTTGAAAAATGAGATATATATATATATATATCATTAACTCCTGAAAGTTCCTTCTCGGCTTCTCATGGGAATTAGAACAATGCAATTGTGTGATTGTAAATACTTGTAAATACTTTATAATGGATCTGTTTTCTGTATAAATTCATGGATTATTCACTATCTTTATGCTTGATATGTCTTGTCTTTTGTCTATTTCCCATCTTACTCACTCTGGGCTCCCCTGACCAGAAAATTTCTCTCAATTTTAGCTTATCTGAACATGATTTACAGGCTGTAACAGTTATAGGAAAGGAAGAAGGCATTAAAGGTTACTGGAAGGGTAATCTCCCCCAGGTATCTGTTATTAGCATAGATCATGTTGATACTTCATTCTATATTTCTTCTGATAATATTGCGCAGTCATTTAACTATTTAAGAGTTAACTCTTTTATGTTCCAGGTTATTCGGGTGATTCCTTATAGTGCCGTCCAGCTTTTTGCTTATGAAATTTATAAGGTTCTCTCCTAATTATCTTTCAACAACTTTAAACATCATATCACCATTTTGAGTCTAAAGTTTTAATTTTGGATCAGAAATTGTTCAGGCGAAAGGATGGTGAGCTATCTGTTGTTGGAAGACTTGCAGCAGGTGCTTGTGCTGGCATGACGTCTACTTTTGTAAGTAACTCATTAGGAAAGTTACATTGTTGCCTGTATCCTTGGGAGTTTCTGGCATCGTGTCATTAGTTCTATTACAGGCTTTTACTTTATAGTTTTTTATGCCTTCTAAGAGCAATTTCTTTTTTCTTTTTTATTTTAAACCAACCAGTTTTTAGATCTTACAAGTATTTAGATTTCTGTAACGTACTGTGGTAGTTTTATACGTTGTACCTTATTCTTTTGAATTCTGTGAGTAAACTTCTGTCTTGGTCCTCCAAAGTGCTCTGGTTCTCCACATAATCAAATTTTTACGGTGAATATCTCAAAGGTTTTGAATAGATGAATAAAAAATGATTTATCAAATATTGCTAGCACAGCTAGCAACTACTAAATGAAATGCTTCAAACTTAGCTGGAAGTTTTGGCAGTTATACTAAGAAATAGGATTAACATGTAGACAGAATGTAAACTTATTCTGTCGCAGAATTTTACAAAGGAAAAAAAAAATGTAAAACTAAGTAAACTCCATATCCATGTGAGATTCAACAAAGTTTTATGTTGGCTGTCAAGGACCTAACACAACTCTCCTCCTTTACTCGAGCTTGGGATGGGCTATAAACATAGGCAGAGTTGTTGACCGAGGCTTCTTAGTTAATAATATTCCTGAAAGCTTGGTAAATCATAGAGTACAATGGCGTTATATAATTCATGTAACTGACTCCACCTAATAGGATGGGGCTTGTTGTTTTTGTTGTTGTAAGTAAATTGTGCCTAACCTTTTTTTAAATTTCCCAGCCCTCCATAACTCACGAGTCATATTGCAATTCCTTGTTCAAGAAGTGTTTGAAGCTTTAAATAACTTTTTGAATCTTCCACTGGCTTTGGAAAGATTGAGAGCTCGAAGAGAGAAAGTAAATAGTTAAAGAATGTTTTCCCCAAAATCAAATGAAGGTTGCCACCAATATCGAACCATCACTAGCATAGTCTGCTGTTAGCTTCTCTTTATTTCATCAAAATATGAAAGAAAGAATTGGAGATGCTGCTGGCAATAGAGACGACTAGCAACTGGACCCTTCACTTGTTGTAGAAAAAAATTTAGAAAGTCATTACTTTGGTCGAATAAGGAGATTTCATGCTTTTAAGGAGAGGGAAAACAATTGCTTAAGCCCAAGTTAGCTGGCTTTTCTCCACATCAACATTTACTGGTGCAGTTATCAGTCACACTTAACAGTGCACATCAACAAGATTATTAACAGAGTCAAAATTAATACACATGAATCACTTAGCTGCGATTTAAACTTATGGAGTGTTTGAATTTTTTTAAAAAAATTAGTCAGGGACTAAATAAGGAATTGGAGTATATATCTGTAGACGACCAAAACAGTAGTTTGAGTACAATTTTATATTTTCCTTAATGCAATGCGTGTATCTAATCTGGGATGATTCTTATAGGTAACATATCCATTAGACGTCCTGAGATTACGATTAGCAGTTGAACCAGGCTATCAAACCATGTCACAGGTATGATTGACCTGCTTTTTGTTTTTTACAAGGTCTTAGTTTGTAGATGAAAACTGCTGAATATTTTCAGGTTGCCTTGAGCATGCTAAGAGAGGAAGGTTTGGCATCATTCTATTATGGCCTCGGGCCTTCTCTTATTGGAATAGCTCCTTATATTGCAGTAAACTTTTGTGTTTTTGACTTGTAAGTCAGTGGAGATCTTTTATTTATTTATTTTGACAAATTGAAGGGGAATGAACTTGAATATTGATTCTGAAATATCCTCATCTTCTTTGGGTAATAGATTAAAGAAGTCTTTGCCAGAAAAGTATCAAAAGAGAACTGAAACATCTCTAATCACAGCTGTGCTTTCTGCATCTCTTGCCACCCTTACATGCTATCCTCTGGACACTGTACGGAGGCAAATGCAATTGAGGGGCACACCTTATAAGACAGTTTTAGATGCCCTTTCAGGTTAGGATTGTTCCCAATTACTTTTAGCATCAGCAAATTATAGTCCATACTTGGTAGACATGCGTGTATTTCTTTCAGCATTAGTGTTCACATAACCAGTTGTCAAATACATGAGCCCTGGTGGTTATTCAACTTCAGAATTTAATATGTGCAATTGTACAATATATAAAAAATCAGCTTTCTCGTTTAAGTTCACTTTCTATAAACTTAAAAGTATACATTATTTGAATAACTTTAATGGTACATGGTAGTTAAGTTTGTAGCACTGAAGTAATTGAATATTTTCTAAGAATTTCTCTTATATAATCCAAAGTTATGTGTATGTATGTTTAGATACTCTTCTGGCATACTTCAGAATTGTCTGGTTGGCTCAACTTTAATAATTCAGTCATTTGTGCTAATATCAGGTTAATAACTTCATTGATGCAGGTATTGTGGCACGTGAGGGAGTTATCGGCTTGTATCGGGGCTTTGTACCCAATGCTTTGAAAACCCTACCAAACAGCAGGTTCCCATTATCTTCTTCAATTCCTGACTATAGAAATAATTAAGACTATGATACATTGATGTGGTTTTGTTGCACCCATCTTTGATAACCTCAAAGCAATTTTTAGGTTCATGTTCTACTTCATTTTTGTTTTTTGGTGGTTAAAAGTCTTTGCTTTATCTGTATTGGTATAGGTTCTATTCCTTGGCTACTGTGGTTTCTGTTTTTGTCTCATCTGTATTCTATTTTAAACCAAAGCTGTTCTTTGTCTCCTGAAATTCTCCCTCGTTTCTCCGTGCAGCATCAGGCTTACTACATATGACTTCATTAAACGCGTAATTGCAGCTAGTGAGAAAGAGTTTCAGACAATCACAGAGGAGAATCGCCAGAAACAAAACTAGACAAATGAATATTGAAGTTGATCATCGGATTCATTTTTGTTGAAGGCATTTTTGTCCTCCAAAATTTTTGGTGGAATTAGTACTCCCTGAAAATCATTCATTATTTATGAAAATTAGCTTAATGAGAATTCACATGCTCTGTTTTGTTGTTTTTTAGGGGTTATTTCTTATTATGCTTAGTGAGATATCGGACATTCTCATACTGTCTCTAGGAATTGTTAATTTTATAGGATATACATTTCTACCTGGCACCTTGTAAGTTTTATTCTTGTATTGAATTCATCATGAGCTGTATTTATTTGCTCTGGAATTTTGTATGCCATGTAAAATAGTAGATTTTCATGCCTGTTCTTATGTTTCTTTGTAGTGTTTCCATTTTGTTCTTATGAGACCATCTTAGGCCTGAGAGTTAATAAATTTAGTAATGCTTCGTGCACAGCTCCTACATTGATAATTTGGCATGCAAAGTTTTGAATTCAGGCTTGTGTACAACTAAACTATATGAGGATCACTTTCAAGTCATTCTAATAAAATTATTTGCAGGTAATGACTAATAGCAAGTAACAATTGAAGAAAAAATAATTACTCTCTGTTATCATTTTAATAACAAATAATTATGTATTAATCTTTATCTACAAATAATTTTTTTGGGATGTTTTCGGATATGCTTCTTTCAAATAAAAAGATACTATTCAGAACCACTGAATGTTAGTTTAACTAAATTCTTGAATTTTACCTTCAAGCACCCATAAATCATGGATAATATTAGATAATTATAGTTGATTATTTTTACAGTTATGATTAACGTTTATGATTTAACAAATATCTGAAACGGAAAAATATTCTCATTTAAATTTAAATTTAAATTATTATAAAGAGAAAATAAATTATGTTTCCCATTAAAACTTACATCTCAAAAGTAATTGATTTAAAATAAAAAATTATTAAAATTTGCAATAAAAACAAGATATCTCCAAACTGGCGGGTCACAGAGAGAAGACCTCACATAGTCACATGCGTGTCCGGCTTCGGTTCTTCCCTCCAGAACTTGATAGTGTTTGCCGCTAAAGGCGAAGAAGCAGCGAGCCTCGACCTCCACGAGCTTCCAACATTTCGATGTCTCACAGCTTGCAGCTCTCATTCCCTGCAAGCACTTTCGGCTCTTCTAGGAATATCAAGAGAACCAATCCTCAGTGTCTCCAAATTCTCTGCTCTTCTGGACATTCCAATTTCAAAGATGAAGACGATGTTGATAATGGAAGGTTAACGATTTACTCATCTGTGGGGTGGATACCACTCAATTCTGTTCTTTTGTTGAAAGTTCATGAAGCAGTTGATTACATTAACCCATTTGAACTCAAATTCCTTGATTTCATCTGTTGTAGACAAGAAAGAAACTAGAGTTTTGAATATCTTAAAATGGCCGTTCCAATTATCCGTTTAAGGGTTGATTTTGATTGCGTCAAAATTTAGATGCCATAATGATTTTTTCTTTTTTTTTTTCCCTTTTTCCTCCAGAGTCCAAGGCGTATCCTCCAAGGCGATATGGATTGAGAGATATAGCAATGGTACTACTAAGAGGTTTTGACGTAACTATACCCATACTCAGGGTTCTTTTCCATTTTTCGCCTCTATAATTCGGCTTGTTGCTTGGCATGGTTTAGTACTTTCCTGAACTTGTGTTGTGTTAGACTTCATTCCTCAAAGTCATAATCTTCGAAGTGGCTGCCTTTTCCAAACCAGGCTCCAGCTAGGACAAATTTTCTCTCCAATTATTCTATCTTCTATTTCTTATGAGCAGATATGAAGTAGATGATAAATCACAGTTAACTATTACTGTTGAGGAAGATAGGCCTACTACAAACAGTTTCCACGATTTCAATTCCCAGGACAGAAGATTAAACTGGCTTCCGCGTATAATAAAAGACTTCATTTTACCCGAAGGCTTCCCAGGTGATGGACAAGTGGCAATATGACATACATTTCTTCCTTTTTAATTTATGGTATGCTAAACAGCCTCCATATTGTTGCCAAACAGCTAAGAAATCGCAAGATTTATTTGATAATCGAATTTGAGAGTTCATATTTTACAGTTTTGGAAAATTGGATGGACTCTGATTTTGATGGACTCTAATTTGTTCATGGGCAAAACCATGTGTCTAATGATTTCAAAAATACGTAATGGTGACTTGCACTTGACAGGAGGACTAGAAGAAAACATTAGTAATTTCTGCAGATTATTCATGGTAGAGAAACTTATTGAGTTTCTATTTCAAAGACCAAATGAACTTAAGAGTAAAACTATTTGTTTCCTTACTTAGAGAACTTTTGGTGCAGGATCAGTTTCAGATGATTACTTGCGCTACATGTTGTTTCAGTTCCCTACCAATGTAACTGGATGGATCTGTCATGCCTTGGTCACTTCGAGTCTCTTGAAGGCATGTCAATCCCTCTCAGGCTACTGAATTTTTACTGGGAATGTTTTTAGAGGTTATGATACATAAACAGTCAGCAGCATTTTCATATAGCTGAAAAATCATCCTCCAAACAATAATTTTCATTTCATCTTTGAGTAATTGGTTATGATGGTTCCTTTGTGTGTGGTTTGGTGTGTTTAGCATTGAGTTTGATCATTACTAGCGCACAGCGTCTCCCATGTTACGTGTCAATGAACAATGAACACAAGGGCAAGATTTAAGTCCCAGTAATGGAACCATTTAGCTTTTAAAATGAACTATTTTGGTAATGGGTCTTAAAATTCAAAATTGGCTATTTGATATCTACTTGATACATGAAAAGAAGTCAGGTATGAAAAGATAGGTTTGATTTTGAATCTTAAAATATCCCATATTTGGAGGAAGAAAAGTTCTGTATTATGAAGGAAACAATCTTTAAATGGCCGTTATTGTGATCGAAAAAATCCTGGAATTGGAAAGTACCCTTTTATCAATAAATCTTGGAGAACCTTGTGTGGACAGTAATGTTTTCGATGATATTACACCATATCCAATGTATACGGTAAAGAACTCGTTTTGATCATTAATCTGGTGGTGATGTCAGAATAATTCATCTGCATATATAAAGTCAGACTTGTTTGTTATAAGTCTATGAGGCACTGGTCATCAGTAATGAGTAATTTCACATGCACAAGATGGAAAAAGGGAGATATAAAGGGGTATAAGTGTTTTATGGATTTTTGGTAAAGAACATTATGTATCTTTATTTAAACTGATGACACCCTTTATGCTGATTCTATGTTCTAAATTAACTGCTATCTCCATTACTTTGAATATTTTCATTAAAGATTATACTTCTGATTTCCATGTCCAGCTTAGTGTAGAGCACTTGTGCTCTGTTGGGGAGAGGATTCTCTTCACTTTCCTTACTCCCCACTTCCTAAAATTTATCATTGGATCAACTTTAAATGGTTGTGAGTTAATAAACAAACAACAACAACAACAAGCCTTTATCCCACTAGGTGGGGTCGGCTACATGGATTGCAAGACGCCATTGTGCTCTATAATAAATGGTTGTGAGTTAATATCTTATAAAAATATTATTGTAATATTAGATAGCAAAATATATATATATATATAAATAAATTTAAAATGTTAAAATTTAACCTGAGCAATTCAGAACTGTATAGGATAAAAGTAAAAACAAATTATTTATAAAATATTTTAATAAAAGTCTACAGCTGTGAATTGTTTAGATCAAATTTTAATAGTTTAAATTTATTTTTTATTTAATATTATAATAATAGTGTTATAAAATTAAATCTCAACCATGGAAAGTTGATCCAATAGTGGATATAAGAAGTGGATAGTAACGGAAGTGGAGACAATTCATTCCTTGTAAGAACGTCATCTTCAGTTTGGAGCTATCTGTCTGCTACTTAGATGAAGTGAATGACAATTGCGCATCTGTACTGGCTTCATATCATAATCTCTCCTTCATTTGCAGGCAATTGGTATTGGCTCCTTCTCAGGAACCGCAACTGTTACTTCTGCTGCTGCCATTAGGTGAATATTTGGTCTTAGTGCTTACACTGGCTGTTAATACAAATAAAGCATTTATATTCATACAATAACGTGAAACTTATCCTTTTTGCGCAATCATATATTTATTTTACTTCTATACAATTGACTGCATTCTTTTTACTTGTATCTTTAGATGGTTATCAAAGGATGGCATTGGAGCCGTTGGACGGTTACTTATTGGTCTGAAAATGATGAAGGAAGCTAAAGGAAGCAGGATATTATATAATGAAACTTATTTGTAAATATTTTGCTATCTTTTACAGGGGGGAGGTTTGGAAATCTTTTTGATGATGATCCAAAGCAATGGAGAATGTATGCAGACTTAATTGGAAGTGCGGGAAGGTCAATTAACAAGTCTTGTATTATATGGAAATCTGCATATGAGGCCATGTTATTGCTAGACTAAGCCTGCTGATCTCTTATGCAGCATTTTTGATCTGACGACCCAACTATATCCTTCCTATTTCCTTCCTTTGGCATCTGCAGGAAATCTTACTAAGGTACTTCAATTTGCAGGTTTGACATGTTCTATTGTTTAGAAATCAGTGCATATATTGGTGGCAAATTATTTTTCAAAGATAACTGTACCAAAAAGTTTCAAATGAACTGCAACTACAAGTAATTATTATAAGAGGTGGTACTTCTTTTATGCGTTGGTAATTCTAAAGGATTTATTTCTTTGATTTGACATTCAAACAGGCTGTTGCAAGAGGGCTAAAAGATCCTTCTTTTCGTGTGATTCAAAACCATTTTGCCGTTTCAGGAAATCTAGGAGAGGTAGCAGCAAAGGTATGCTCTTGTAACATTTTTCAAGATACATTCTACTCTCATTTCTGATGGATTTGCTAGTAATGATAAATCTGTAAAACCTTCATAATCGTATTCAAACTGCATTTATATGTCATAGTTTCAAGTTTTACTGTCATTTATCTTAATTCTCCTATTCATATGTATACTCTTGCAACAAGAAAATAATCTTTTAAATGTAGCTAGATTATACCTTGTGAGCTGTGGCTTGTAGGCAACAGCATTAGTGAAATCATAGTTTCGCTAGCTAAAATCTCCGACCATTGTGAAGACAAACAATCATGAAGAACGCAAATGTAAACCCAAAAGATTGGACAACAAAAAATACTTGTAGGAAAATTATTTTGCTAACTTCTGTGTCTGCACTCCATATAGTCTTCAGTCTAAATTGAAGAGACCAGATAAATACAAATGCTGGACTCATTACACTACATAATAGATAACCTCTTTGAAGACAATTCAATAGATTGACTTTACATAAACAAGGTAGTAACTTTTTTAAGACTTACGTGCAATCATGCTAAGATACAATAATATCTTATGCGGACAAGCTAGTGAGTAATCAGATACTAAATAAGATGCAAAATAGAAGACTCTTTGATTGACTAACTCTTGGAATTATTTTGCACAATTATCCTTGGGACATGCTGGCATTAACATTTTCAGCATGCATGGGCTTTGTTTTATTTTTTAAAGCATGGGTTATGATAGTTAACTTCATCCTGAGCAAAAATTAGCCCAATCCTGGCCAAGGACAGCCTTAAACTTCAATGAAACTCTTGACTTGCTAAGAATTAGACTGAAGACCTATTTGTATCCTGTTGCACTCATCTGCCACCATTCTATGATTATGATGGTCAATGAACTTTATTTTTTTCTTTTCTGTTCACAACTTAAATAGAGGATTGATACATTTAAATCAAGAAACTTGAAATTCTTTGCCTTTGTTGGAAAATATAGAGCTCTTTTCCAAATTATTTGTTCATCATAATTTCTTAGGAAGAAGTTTGGGAAGTGGTTGCTCAATTGACTGGCCTTGGTTTGGGCATACTGATACTGGTATGGTACACAAGTTTTCTATACCACTATGTATTATTGAATTGGCAAGCAAGTTAATACTTTTAACTTTAAGTTTGTCTGAATGCAGGATACACCTGGCCTAGTAAAATCATATTCTGAATTATCTTTGACTTGGATGACTATACGGCTTGTGCATCTTTGGCTACGTTATGAATCCCTTTCTGTCCTCCAATTTAACACAGTAAGTGAAAAAATTATTAAAAGGAAAGGGATATGTTCATATGATGTATTTGTTCAGTGATGTATCTTTTGCATAATTCTTTTCAACAGATAAATCTTAAGCGGGCTCGCATGCTGGTAAAATCACATGTTTTACACTCCACTGTTCCAGGTTGCATTCACAAACATTTTTTGTCTTGGTTATTCCCTTCACATCGATGCCTAATTTTCTGGACGGGTTTATTTCAGGATGTGTGAATTGTAACAGGGAAGAAAATATTTTAGCGTGGGAAAACTCCATGAAACCAAAAATCATTTTTGGCTTGCCATTGGAGAAGATGGATGGTGTTGAGAAATCTCATTTCATGGTATATTGAATCATTGTCTTTGCTATCTCACAAACTTATGGGCAGAAATCAAGAGCTTCGAAACTATTTTCTATGTTTTAGTTTTTACAAAGCTACAAGGTCATTCTTTTCATTGTTATTTTTCTTAAATATTTATCGTGGATCAGGTAAAGACACTTGTGAAATTATATGCGAATGAGAAGTATATCCTTACTGTGAACCAGCAGCCAGAAGATCTGAGGTTTTATGTTTCTTTTTAAGGTACGATTTTAAATTTCCTAGAAGAATTTAAGCAAAAACCCTATTTTCATCCTCAGGATATTGTGCCGTTATCAGCTTAATACTAGATTTTGGTATCATTTGAGATCTAAAAATGATTTCATTCCAATTTCGCCTTTCATGGGGTGTAAAATGATATTCAAGTGGCACCTTCCTTGAATATAGATTATGATCCATGTGAATTTTACTTGATTTGCCCCTTTTCCCGTTCCCTACTTTCAAAGTCCTTGTGCCTTCTTTATAACTAAATAAATTTCGCTAGAGTTGAAATAAAACTGTATTTTGGTACTAAAGTAAACATTATGGAGTGTGAAATTGTTAATGGCGATAGCACATCATTTGAAGTCAAAAATAGTTGTTTTGTTATTGGACAATGAAACCTTAATTTTTAACGGATTCAGAATCATGTTGCAGGTTGGAGCAACAAGTGTCTCAGTATTGCGAAGCCTTTGGCAGGCCATCTGGCTAAGTGAGAACTGGGACAGCAGGGCAATGTTTGTCATCAACTTACCAATAGCCTAATGAGTTGAAAGATAGGTTTGAGGATTTTATTCAGAAGCTGAATGGGGCTGGATGGGATACAGAACAATTAAATTTGAAGGTTCCCAGAAGAATCTCCATTGATGATATTGACCCTCTTTAGCTCCTGAAATTCTGGTAGTGAGATTAGTTCATCACTGATTTGATCTTGAGAATTGAGGTCCAAGACTTGGATCAGCCAAATGAAACTTGCTTACAGAAGAATTGCAACCAGCAGAAGCAAGCAATATCCCTAATGTTCACACACATTGGTGAATAGAGATGCTTGGCGATTTGGGTGATATTATCTGGACTCGTTGGATACCATATAGTTAGCGAGAAAATGTTAGGTTTATAAAACAAATCAATCATAAAGATGTGTATAAGCATGTCTCGTATAGAACTAGGTTTAACTGGTATGCCTATCATTGACTTGATTTGTAAGTTTCTTTTAGGGCAGATAGCTAAAATTCTCTCTTTAGCAGCTTCATCTTGCAAGCATGTTTGCTTGTGTAATCCGCAATATATTCGTAGTAAAATTTATTGATGGACCTCTTCAAAAGGGTAATGGTACTGACTCGTAATATTTAAAATTAAACTTGGAATAAATATTTTCTCTCATTTTCAATTCTATTTTCACATGTGTCGTATGAATAAATTTGAATTTAATAAAATGACATTGCCTATAATACTCGGAAGAGATGACAATTCATTGTTGATGGGTCATTCCCCCTTTTCTTCTATTAAGTTATGCTTTCTTTTTTAAAAAAACAATATATAGCATTATATACTGAATTTTTTTAATTTTCTTTTGGACATATTTAAGAATTAAAGCTTTGCATGTAGATTGACCAAGTTATTAAAGGGCCTAAAATACACTTGTATTGATATTCGAACAGCTTTTTACATATACTCTCTTTTCCTTTGAAATAAAAAATGAAGATAAAATTGTGGACAAATAATTAATACTCCTTCTATTAAAAAATATAAGAAATTTTTTGAGAAGTTAGATGTTTAAAAATATAAGGCATTTTAATTTTTTAAAGTGTAATCATTATCTTTTTTT